TGACTCGACTGTGTTGCTGCCTCCTCAAAACAAGTCTGGACCTGGTACCTAATCAACTTCACAATGAGACCATCCTCTTAACTCCCGTCCTCACACTGTCATCGTTGCTTTAATAGCTATAATTTCACAATTAAATCTACCAGCACCATCTGCATGGGTGATTTGAGTGAGTTTATTTTATGCAGAGCGAATACTGTACTAGGTTAAAAGCTTCACATAGGCTAATGCTTAGTTTGCCATGAAATATCTGTGTGTACTCACACCCTGTCTTGTAAAAATCATGTCTTCTTAAAGAATAGTGCAAAATTTTGGGAAATACAATTTTTTGCTTTCATGCTGAATGTTAGATGAAAAATGGTACACTCTCATGTCTGTAGGGTAAATATGAAACTAAAGCCGTGAACCAATTGGCTTAGTTTTAGCACACTGACTGTAAATGGGGGGGAAAAGTAGCTTGTCTCTGTCCAAAGGAAACAAAAGGTGTATAAATTATAGAAAACAGCTATAATATGTTAATAAGTGAGCTTTTGAGGTAGTGGTAGATGGATTTTGTTCCCTTTGGACAGAGCCAGTCCAGTCTGTATGTTAAGATAAGCTAATTCACTACTAGCTCCAGCTAGGTGTTTAGGCCTACTACACAGATGTAGAGTGTTATCGATCTTCTCATCTAACCCTTGGTAAGAAAATGAAAAAGAGTATTAGATGTCACCACCACATCCATTTACGTATCTATTTACATTTTGCACCCATTTAAAAACAGTTTTGTGACCAGGATGATGGAGGCGAGGCACAAGTGCTCTTCAAACCTCCAGTCCCTTATGAATCAGCTGTGAAACAGATGCACTAATTATGGACATATTGTGAAACAGGAGATGAACACAGGGTAGCGTTTGATCACTAACCCACCGCCATGGTGCTTCTAACAGGAGGTTATTGTGTGTCCCCCTCTTATCTGGTCCTTGATGCGGTCCCCATAGTAACATCATGCACAGACACAGCTTGATGATGGCAGATAAAGGAGGCACAGTGTAGGCGCCTACTATAACTGTCTGTCCAGATTGCATGCACCCAGGTGAATGAATATTCTCAGAAAAACACTGCAGGTTTCACTTACTGATGATAATTTGAAAACATATAAAGAGCTTAACTTCTTGAAATCATTTAGCATTTGTAGTCAAACATTTGATTTTGTTATAAAGTTAAGTGCCTTTAATGGAGTAAGTCTGCTTTCAACTAGTCTGACATAAAACTATTACCGACTGAAAATCAACAGTGTAATTTGAGATTCACTTTGGTCTACAGTATGCGGATCTGTGAAAGCAGCTTCACTTCCCCTTTACTGCTTTCTCTCTTGTTGAGGTATAGGAATTCTCACACAAGGCTTGTTTTCATATTACAATGTATTAGGCTTGGCTGGGTGTAAATTAGACATGTTGGACCCTTCTGGGAATCTGTCAGAGCACGGTACTTCTGTACAAAGTGTAAGGTATACAATTCATTCTGGTCAGGAAAAATTTAGGAACACTATGTATCCTTAATAGAAAAAAATCTACACAAATATGTCCTGATTGAGTAGAGATAATGGAAAAAATGAAGGTCATTAAAGAGGAGGGACTTTTATGACATATCTGATCAACAGGATACAAAATAAAAAAAACATATGTCTATACAAGTAATTTAATATGCGATACAACAAGGATGACTTTGAGCAAAAGATTAATAGACAGAAAGAACTAAACTAAACTAGCAGTTTGTTGAAACTTAAATCATTAACAGATGGTTTATGTATATACAGTATTTTTCTATTAAAAAAAGGAAGTAAATAACCATTTAAATTAACATTTTCATTAGTCTACAGGAACTGCTGCCAGCGTAAGGAGTAGTTTTCCTCATTTCGGTACTTAAGTAAATATAGCAGTTGGAAGGAGGAAATAAGAATAAAAATGCCTTGTGCAGCCCACAGGATGAGTACAGGATGTTGCAATAGTGAAATGCAGTGCAATATGCCACATCCTGCTGTAAATACATAATAGTGGTATTATAGTAAATATGGAGGAAAATTAAAGATGTGCCACTATATTACCTTAGTGGTTCTAGTGTAAACAAAATTGTTCTAGCTATTTAAAAGTTTCAGCAGTTTGGCACTTGCTATTTCCAGTATTAGTATGAATGTTTTGAGTATTCTGATGACAGTTCAATATCACAGTACAAAAAATGTTTTGTCTTCTTCCAGACTATGTCTGATGGTGTCACTTCACGGAATTTGTTTCATAGGGTGCTGGTGGCCTGGTGCTGCCAACATTTTATTTCCTGACTGGGAAAGTTAATTATAAGAAGCAGCAACAAATATTATAGCAGCAAGGTGAAGGTGTTGTTTAATGTCTGTTCATGATGACATTGGCTTCACACCCTCATAGATGCTGAGTCATATGTTGAAACCTTAAGACCTCACCTTTTTTTAGTTTTAGATGAATAATTCAGTGGTATGCTGGTAAACTGGCAGAACTAATCTGAAGGTTATTTTATGCTCCTGACTTCTTTATGTGGATGTAATATGGCCACAAATATCCCCTAGGGATGATTTAAAAAAAAAACAGTGAAACGTTTTAAATGAGGTCTTTCATCTGCCTCCTCACCTTTACTCTTTGGCTTGATGTGGTTTTACAAGAGCATAAAAATCCCAGATAAGTGCTAGAGAAAACTGCAAAGTCATGCTGGGTAGTAGGTTGCCGACATCCATGGAAGGACTGCCGTGGAATGAGCTGTTATCGCGATTTAAAATATCTTATCGCGAGAACTGTGCCATGGTATAAATTTCCAAATCGACGCTACACCTCCTGCTCTTCTTTCTCGTGTCTAAAGTGTGTTCTAGACGAAACAGAGGTATGTATTACTTATGTTCTGCATTTTGCTCAGTTTAAACTAGTTTTCACTTTCTTTGGTGTCCTTTTTTTCGATTGGTTTATGCTTTGATGTTTTTCAGCTACATCACCGTAACGCGGCTAAAGTGGTTTTTTACAAAATGATAATGACAGTTCTGAAAAACCAATGTGGTTTTTCGGCTTTTGAGATAAAGGTTAGCGTTAAATGTTACTTAGAAGACAGCGCGTTTATGTTAATTAAAAGGTTTCTAGTGACAAACTACTACATTTTAGGTTGGTCTCAACTCAAGTCTCGAGAAAATTTGGACGTTTTTGCTTCACTTGTTACCTTAGCTGATAAAAACATAAATGTACAAAACCACAGACCATAATAATTTTACCTTAAATTAAGTGATCATATTGCCGGAAGTGTGTCAAAAAAAAAAGAAGTTTAAAACAGTAACATTCATATGCGGAAACACTTGTGAAATTAAACTGAGAGAATGAGTGGAAATGGATCACGGGTTTTGGTTTTTGCCGTTTCCACCATAAGTAAATGTCTTGAAATGCGATGTAATGTAGTTTGCATTCGCTCTCAATCTGTGGTGGTTTTTCCAGCTTTTCATTATAACATTTCATATTGTACTACTCTTATGTGGCACCGATATCTGTATAATGCAATAAGAATGACGGTGTGATTGACATTTTGTCAAAGCTTTAGGGCTGCAATTGACAATAGATCATCAAAATGGGGATTGTCCGTCACAATGTATTAAAGTTCAAAGTGACGAACAGATTTTGTGTGTGACCAGCAATGGAGGAAGAACACACGTTCACACCTTAAAAGTTGGCACCAGGAACGTTTGTCTGTACAGTTGGTGTGTCTCCTATGAAAACACGGATGCAGCTAATAATCACTTTCATTATAAGTTAAATAGTTTTACATTTAAAATGTCTATGATTAGTGAAAAATTCCTTTATTAAAATCCACTGACATGCTGAGTTTCTTTTTTTAATGCAAGCCACAGTCCAAAACGACAAGATTTTAAGGTTTTTGTTCTAACACATGAAAAAAAAAGACAAGTCCTTACATTTCCATATATAGAATTTGAGTGTCTAATTTTTGCATGGAAAAATTACTGAAATTATTAAAAATTCCAAGTATTTTACTGTTTAAAATGACACTATATAAATGTAAAGAGGTGAGGAGTGAACACATGATTATATTGATAGAGCTGGACTGATCTGACTAGTCTAAGTACATAAACTGAGTTTTGATAATAGATCAATAATTGAAACTGTTCAAGGAGCAATACATCATGTCTGTGTGCTATAACTGAGAAAGGCTTCTGCCGTAGCCATGATTTCACACACCAAAACAAATGAAGAGGTTGTGTATTAATAACCTGTTGTCCTCTTTCTGTACTTCAGTCACATTAAAGATGGCTACAGGCAATGCAAAAATCGGACAACTGGCCCCAGACTTCACAGCCAAAGCGGTGATGCCAGACGGACAGTTCAAAGACCTGAAGCTGTCAGACTACAGAGGTATCCTCATTGTGCGTCTTGTTTCGTGTTGGCTGGAGGACTAGCTCTGATGGCACTCTCTCCTCCACTGTTCATTGCTTTGTGATTCCACAATGTCTTGAATGTGCATTCATTTGTAGTACTAGAGAGAGGGATTAATTAGACTAGTTACTATAGGTGCACTGTTGCATAACGCGCTCAATGGCCTTATTTGTTTTTGTCTGTGATGCAGGGAAATATGTTGTATTTTTCTTCTACCCACTGGACTTCACATTTGTGTGTCCGACTGAGATCATTGCTTTCAGCAATGCAGCTGACGAATTCAGGAAGATCGGCTGTGAGGTCATTGGTGCTTCTGTTGATTCACACTTCTCCCATTTTGCATGGTAGTTACAATACTTTGTTTTAAACACACAATTGTGTGCATTCACTTCTGCAGAGTCCTCAAAAATCTTTTTTTTGTCTTAAAGGGTCAACACACCACGTAAGCAGGGTGGGTTGGGCACCATGAAGATTCCCCTGGTATCTGACACACGGCGCACAATCTCTACAGATTATGGCGTCCTGAAGGAGGATGAGGGCATTGCCTACAGGTGGGTTTAGTTTCAGTTTGTCAGGACATTTGGAATCATTGTAACTTTTTCACAGTAATTTCTAGTTGGTGATACTTCTGCTTCCAGAGGGCGATGGTAGATTTTTGTCAACTATATCTAGACACTTGAATGGCCACACTGGAAGATGGATTTCAATCAAGACATTCATAGTGTTGCACTCACTTGTTGGCATTTAAATTACCTCAAATACTTGTGTAATGAATTACAATGCTTGGCTCCTCTCTCACCTCCACACAGGTGAAGTGAGTGTAAAAGACATTTTTTAGAAAGGTGTGGGCAGAGGGGGTTTATGACATAATCCACCATGCAGTTGAGCAGGTCTTTGGAGAACCAAGAGCTGTTCCTTCTCACTATTACAGGGGTCTGTTCATCATTGACGACAAGGGCATCCTGAGACAGATCACCATCAATGACCTCCCAGTTGGACGGTCTGTTGAGGAGACCTTGCGTTTGGTCCAAGCATTTCAATTCACTGACGAGCATGGAGAAGGTAAGTTACTGTTGCAGCTCTGTCACACTGGGTCTTGGTGCATACAGTCCTTATTTAGTGAATAGTTACACCTATCTTTCATCGCCTGAAATGTAACAATGCTCATCTTTTTGTCCATGAGCCAACTATGGTCATATGAATAATTTTAAACCTTTGTACTAACCTTATTCAGTTATTTGTATCCCAAATTGCTACTGGCTGTCTGGAAATAATTTGTGCTATATACAATAAGTCAGAGGACAAAGACTATAAAGGGTTATTCAAATGTTGGTGCTCTTATTAATGCAGTGTGCATAATCTTTAAAAGTTGAGAGATGACTGTAGTCTTAAAAAAGGGGCAATAAATTTAGCATGGCTGGAGTACGTTATTATGCAGCCAAACTTTTGATGCTGTTCCCTGCTTTAAACCCAAAGCAGTAGAGGTTCTATAATGCATACCGTTTACTTCACCTGGCCAGGACTCATTACATGCTTATCTTTTCAGTCTGCCCAGCCGGCTGGAAACCAGGAAGTGACTCCATCAAACCTGACGTCAAGGAGAGCAAAGATTATTTCTCCAAGCAGTAATAATCCCAAGGCCAGAGTCTGCGGCCTGCTGTAGGAGATTTCACTTAGAGATTACATGTCCAGAGAATGATAGCAGACCATGGGTGTGTGTGTTTTTTGTGTAGTCAACATGCTGTATGTCCCATTGTCGGTAGAGCAAATGGTACACAATGACCAAAGTGTATAATTTTGTTGTGGTAATGTGTGCCATTTTTGCCTGTCAGGTTCAGCTAAAGGTGTTTGTTCCTTAATGGCATTCCTTACTACTGTTGGATACAGTGGACCTTACAAACATTTATAGTCAAATGCAGACACCTCTGTTACTTTGTACCTTTAAAAACGGTGAACAACAAATGTTCTTTCATTCAAATAAAAAAAAAAAAACTTATTTCAAGAAGCATTATTGTCACATGAAGGAAATGTTGGTGTGCTCTTTCAGTGGTATTGGTCAGGCACATGTTGGACCTTAAATTATTTAATTTTTTTAATATGTAAAATTACTTATACTTAAAGAATGCAACAAAGATGGGGATACCATTTATGACCTCTGAATATACACCATATTGTAAATCCAACAAAAACAATAGTGGAGGTAAACTCCAGTCTCAAAGGTCTAGAAAGCTGAATGATTTAATTGAGGTAGGTAGTCTTGTCAGCAAAAGGAACCCTAGTGGGATTTGCCAGAGGCTTTATCATTCCAACAGATCTAGCATCTCATAGCAGACAATTTGATTTATTGCTCAACGAATCGCACATGTGTAGTTGGTCAGGTAAATCATATCAGCTGTGTTTCTGTAAGGTGGGTGCTGGTTGCTGAATTACTTGTACTGGCACACCTGAAATGCAGTCACGAATGTTATCACTTTGTAGTATAACAATTAATGTAACTGGTACCGCCAGACCTCAGTATACAGTGGGTACGGAAAGTATTCAGACCCCCTTAAATTTTTCACTCTGTTATATTGCGGCCATATGCTAAAATCATTTAAGTTCATTTTTTTTTCCCTCAATGTACACACAGCACCCCATATTGACAGAAAAACACAGAATGTTTGACATTTTTGCAGATTTATTAAAAAAGAAAAACTGAAATATCACATGGTCATAAGTATTCAGACCCTTTGCTGTGACACTCATATATTTAACTTAGGTGCTGTCCATTTCTTCTGATCATCCCAGAGATGGTTCTACACCTTCATTTGAGTCCAGCTGTGTTTGATTATACTGATTGGACGTGATTAGGAAAAGCCACACACCTGTCTATATAAGACCCTACAGCTCACAGTGCATGTCAGAGCAAATGAGAATCATGAAGTCAAAGGAACTGCCTGAAGAGCTCAGAGACAGAATTGTGGCAAAGCACAGATCTGGCCAAGGTTACAAAAAAAATGTCTGCTGCACTTAAGGTTCCT